CCCGCTGCTCCCCTCAGCAGTGTACTTCATCAGTTGGCCTGTTCTGCTCCCCACTCTGTCTCTGGTGAATCCTCTCACTGCCCCTGCACCTCTGGTCTGTACCCCATTTCCATAGGAATAAATAAATACATAAATACATCTTTAAAAACAAAAACAAAAACAAAAAAACCTAAGACTAGAAATACAATGTGATCCAGTTATTCTGCTTTTGGGAACTTATCTGAAGAATACAAGGATACTAATTTGAAGAGATATGTGTACCCCGATGTTCATTGCAGCATTACTTACAATAGCCAAAAGCTGGAAATGTGGATCTTCCTGATGGTGTAGGTGTTAAGTCTCAGGGCTCCCAAGCTACTGCCAGTCACTGTGGCCTGAGTTCGATCCCCAGCCAGGGGGCTGACTCACTTGGCATGACAGGCCTCTCCTGACCTGCCTGCTCCTCCCTTCCGCAGTGTATTTCAGTATATCTGCCTGTTCTGCTCCCCACTGTGTCTCTGGTGACTCCTCTCATCTTCCACACCTCTGGCCTAGAGTCTTGGCTTTCATAAATAACTAAAAAATAAATCTTAAGTAAAAAGAGTTGGACATAATTTAAGTCCCTCTTGACCCATGAGAGGATAAAGAAGTATATAGAATGATAGACTGTTACTGAATTATAAAAGATGGAATTCTGCTGTTGCAAAAATATGGATCAACTGAAGGGATGTTGTGCTAGGTAAACAAAGTCAGAAGAGATAGCACATGTGATAAAGCAGAAAAAATAAGAAAATAAACTCTTAAAACTCAGAAACTCTGACTCTGAGGAAAAAACAGTGGTAAAATTTTGATTTAAACATTTTATAGGTGTGCAAACTTATAAATTTTGATTTAAACATTTTATAGGTGTGCAAACTTATAAATTATAACCTAAATATACTACATTATGTTTCCTATCAAATTATAGTTCGCATACAATTGGCCTGATTCACTCATTCTTTCCACTCCTTTGTTTAAATTTTGCAATGCCTAAATCAATATTACCTTGATTATAAAATATATCCGATGAAAGGAAACAGGTACAACTTTCTAGAGATAAGTGGCATTCCATGCTTTTTTTAAAAAGATATCTCTTTAAGCCATTCCAGCTTTAGAGATTTATCAAAATATCAGATCAAACATAGATATGTATATATAAGTTTTTTTTTTAAATCAGAGACTTGTAAGAAATTGCAAAAAGATAAAAGGAACAATACAGATAAAATATGATTGAATTGTTGATAATTAGGCAGTGTGCCATGGAATTGTGGAGCCAGCTCTACTAATTTATCCTGTAACATAATACATTTAAGTAGCAACACCAACAAGTGTGGATGTGAAAGTATGAGTAACTTTGGGAGATTAAGTAATTTGGAGCTCCATTGGGGGGGGGGGGAGTGGGAGGATATAGAGAGGCCCAGCATTTAGCAAAGGAGTGGATTTTAATGAACCCAGTTCAAGCCCCAGATATTAGTGCCAATGGTATAGTGGATGGAGATTTGAGTCCAAGGCCAGCTCCAAACCCAACTTTAACACACACAACTGATACTGTCTACTGAGTTTAGCCTGTGTGTTAGGTAAAAAATATACATATGTTTATAACACCCCATTTTTTTAAGTTAAATATCCCAGAATATGCTTTTAGGAATAACATGCTTCTATCTCCTATTTTATAAGTGAGGAGACTGAGGTTTAGAAGGTTAATGCATTTCCTAGATTCCCTCAACCAGTAGCTGATAGAGTTGGTATTTGACCCGCATTTGTGTCCCTGAACTCTGTGGCACACTGCTACATTAAACAAGAGTAATCATGACAGTCTCACTGTTGCTTTAGAGAAGAGCTGAAGTGCTGGATGTGGAAGCACTTCTCCAGACTTAAAGTCCCGTGCAAGTTGGAGGTGCTGTTATGGGGATTCACCGAGAGTATTTTTCTACAGCATTTCTTTCTAACTGCCACCCAGTATGATCTGAAACTCTGCTCTGAGAAACAAGAGTGATCGGGCCCTGCCTTGCCTTCCTTCTGGCCGAGCTGTGCTTCCCACTGACAGGGAAACACCTCAACCCACCCACACCTCCAAGGATTGACCCAGGGTGTGGAGGGGGAGGCTCATTGTGGCTGAGAAGGGTAAGGAAAGATATCGTTATGGCCTTTACCTTAAAGGGATGCAGGCTGGCAGGTCAAGAACAAAAGCATGAAAGAGCAGAAAGACAAGCCAGTTTCTCCCAGAAGATTTAAGTAGTGTGCCACTATACTTAAAAGAGGGACTAAGGAGGGAGAGTGCTTGAATTCTCCACCACAGACGTTGTGCTAATAGGCTGACTAGTTATAAAGAAGGCTGACTAATTTCAGAGTCCAATCAAGCATTCAGTTGAGGTAGATAGATTGGTTAATCTATATTTCAACATAAAAATGATAAAATAATCTGGCCATTTGAGTGAAAATAGAGTAATCCTTTGGGTAATCTCTGGAGACATCTTGTATGTACCGCTATCACACCTGTTGTTATTCATAATAGTTTCACTGTGTTTGTACACCGGGAAGGAGGTCATATTTTGCTCATTTGTTTAAGGGAGGCTTTGAGTTGGAGAGATTGCTTGCCTCTTAGAAAGCCATAGTTTTAGTGGGAAGGGGAAACTGATGGGCTTATCCCAAAGATCACTCCAGGGCACCCCAAATTGACTGGAACATGTGAAAGAGCACATGCGACTCCCCGTAGTGTCCCCACTCTTGAACACACCTGACCACCACCTCTCTTTCTGCCATGGAGACAGAAGACTTTCACTTCCTTAGACCACTTCAGAAGTGACATGTTTTTCAAAGCCTGATCCCCAGAATCCAGAGTCCTTCCCTGGGACCCCTGACCAAAAGGAGGGAAGGTGATAGGTACCAGGACTGGGAATAGTCAGAGGACATCCAGAAAAATCTACATCTGCTTTCTAACGTGTAAGGAAGGTGTTTGCATTTTAGTGTGTGTCAGAATCACTTGTGATTCTGTAAAAATAAAAACCCGATTATCTGGACCTGTTACTTGAAATATTGATCCTGTTCTGAGAATCAAGTATTTTCACAAGCACCTTTTAGCAGGATCAGAGCAGTGTTTCTCACACTTGAGTGGTTAGAAGACTTTAGAGACACAAACCCATCAGCCATTTGCCAAATGGAAAGGGGAGGTGATACAGGGCGAATGGAAAAGAGCAGCATGGGAAAACTGGCTTTGTGTGGCTCCTGTGTTGCTCCCTAGCTGCATGACTCTGAGCAAAGCCTACAACCTCTCTGAGCCACCATCTCTCACCCAGGAAGCCAATCTTGAAGGTTTGAGAATCCTATGCAATAGGATGTGAGTTAGCACTTTGAAAATAGTTGAGTGGTTTAAGGATATTGGAGTGATTGTTATCATACCTTTAAATAATAGAGACTTAGATTACATAAACACTTTTTCAGAGTTATCGTAAATATTTTTGTGTGATAAAGAAAATGTAAAAGAGACATAAAGGAGAAAAGAGAGGAACCTGAGTCTTCCACGTCCTGTCCTTACCCACTGCTCTGTGCTGGCTCTGTGAAACTTTGGAGTTTCTCAGTTCTTCTGCTTCAATTGCCTCCTGTATAGGGTGAAAATTCAACCAAAGATTCGATTCTGAGTAGGACTTTGACTTGTCCTTTTGACTTAAAGGTGTGAACAAAGGTGATGCCTGAATCTTCAGTAACTAGATAAAAGGAAATAGCACAGTGTGGATGCCCCTCTGGTACTTAGATCCCAGTTTCGTGAAGACAGGGGATGTACTGAGAGCACGCCAGGCCTATTTATCAGTTTTGGAGAGCCCTTGGGGAAGTAATCCCATGACAGCTTATTGAGATGAGCATAGGTAATTACTCCAGTGTGAGTATCTAAAAGCAAGGGTCTTGGGGAATGAGTCTTGTTTACAAAGCACAAACTATCTACCTATTGGGCAGTATTCCTAAAAGATTTCCTAGGAATAAGAGCAAATCATAATCAAAAACATCACACACATGCTCCTACTAACTTTGAGTGCTAAAAGAATTGGTAAGTCTCAAGTACTATGTTTGGATTAGCATGATCCAGCTTGCTAGTGACCCCTATACCAAGTGAAAGCAATTTAAAAAATCACATTTAAAGGAAAATAATATCACCCTGACCTTCAAATGTTTTCATTTTATAATTTTTCCAAAAAGAGGCAAACGAAAGAACCAATCCATGAAAGGTGTACAGGAACTCTAGCTAATATGATAATCAGACAGAGAAGCAATGACATTTATTTATGAGATAAGACCAAGCCTGAAAAAAATTGGCTGGCGTTTTCACAAGCTAAACAGATAATAGTAATCTCTCTCATAAACAAATGTTCATAACCACCTCTCTCATAAAAAATATAGTATCACCACTACATGTTTTCTTACAGTTGCTATTCCTGAAAGGGTAATCACTCCAGTTAACATAACTTAGTTTTACCCAGTATTGTGCTTTAAATGAATTTTGAAGTTGTTTCTATTTCTAGTGCCATTGTAATTTTGATAGGGATTTCATTGAAACTATAGATAACTTTGAATAGTATGGGCATTTTAATATTTACTATTGTCTTCCAATTCATGAACATAAGATATTTTTACAGTAATTTGTAGCTTCAACTAAAAAAACAAAACTTTCATTGAACTCAAATTGATTTACAGTTTCACATATGTTTCAGGTGTATACCATTACACCTCAGCAGCTGTATATTCATTTTTATGATCACCTCCAATCTAGTTTCCATCAATACATCTAACCATCTTTACTCAGTTTACCCACCCCTCACCCTTTTCCCCTTTGATAACTACCCTTTTCTCATAATCTAAGTTTGTTTTTGTTGTTTGTCTTCACTTGTTTAAAGTCTAAAAAATTTTATTGAAGTATTTATTCCTTTAAAACATATATGACTTTAGGGCCCTCCCTGGTAGCACAACAGGCTAAAGCGCAGCACTATGAAGCTGTCACAGCCACTGCAGCATGAGTTTAGTCCCCCGCCAGGGAGGTGACCCACATGGTTTGGTGGCTCTCCTGACTCACCCGCTAGTCCTCTCAGCAGTGTATTTCAGTAGATCTGCCTGTACTTCATTCTCCCAATAGTAATTTTTGGGGCTGAAAGATGAAATTGTTTGGGAAAAAGTTTCCTCAAAGATAAAAATGAAATTTTCATGTGAGATTTAAGATATTAGAGGACTAGAAGACCTGGATGATAGTAGATCTGTCTAATGATTCCACTCCATTCAGCCCCTCCCAATCACACATTCTATTCTTTCATCATGGGGCTTTCAGACAAATGGGGAATACCAGTGTCAAAAACACTATGGGGAAGCATTACAGTCACCAAGGTCATAGAAATGGTGAGGGAAACTTATCTTCCTGGGGTTTATTCTTAAGCACAGTAGCACAGACATGCCATTTTTTAGTTTAGTTGTTTCAAAAATACAGTGATGCCCCTTTACCACTTTTCCTGTTCCAATTACCTGTGGTCAACTGTGGTATGGAAATACTTCGTAGAATAAGAGCACATTTATGTAACTTTTAATGCAGTATATTATTATAATTCTGTTTTTATTCTAAGTTTTTATGTTAATCCTTTATTGTTCCTAATTTATAAGTTAAACTTTATCATGGGGCTGTATATATTAAGTTTGGTACTCTCTGTAGTTTTAGGTATCCACTGGGGGATTTTGGAATATATCCCCCATGAATGAGGTAGGGCCACTATATCCAAGTATATGCTTCATTTGTATTTAAATCTGGATGACTAATTTCAAACCATTATGACTCTAAGAACTTATGCTAATGATACTATGCTGATGACTGGTGTGTTCTGATGCAGTTTTGTGTAGTCTGTGTAGTTTAGGCATAGAAGTTTAGAGCACAAGTCTTGTAAGTGATGCCTCTATTTTTTTCCCCTCTTTTATTTGTCACTGATTAATATAATTGCATTAAACAGCATTAATGTGGTCAATTAATATGGTCAGTATGACTGAGTAGAGATCCCTAAATTAGATGGGAAGGGACTGCCACTATGGTGAATGCATTTTCCTAACCCAAATTAGCTTTCTCAGGGAATACTTGATGTCTCTGTTTCTCAAACTATAGATAAAGGGATTTAGCATTGGGGTTACTACTGTGTACATTACTGATGCAACTGTGCCCTTCTGTGCTGAGCGTGTTGAAGGGGGACTGAAATAAATGCAAAAAGAAGTCCCAAAGAACAGAGATACCACAGAAAGATGAGAGCTGCAGGTGGAAAAGGCTTTCCGCTTGCCCTGAGCTGAGGGGATCTTCAGGATAGTTGAGAAAATGTATGTGTAAGAGATAATCAAGGAAAGCACACAAACCAGACCTGCGAGACCCCCAACAGTGAAGATCACCAATTCATTGATGAAGGGGTCTGTACAGGACAGACTCAGAAGGGGGTTGATGTCACAGAAGAAGTGGGGGATTTCATGGTCAGCACAGAAGTTTAGACTGTTCATCAGTAGTGTGTGCAGGAGGGAGTGGAGGGCATTCAGGATCCAGCATGCAGACACCAGGAGGACACAGAGCCCGGGACTCATGACCATGATGTAGTGGAGTGGACGGCAAATGGCTACGTAGCGGTCGTAGGCCATGACAGCCAAGAGGAATGCCTCCAGCATCACAAACAGCATGAAGAAATATAGTTGTGATAGACATCCGGCATAGGAGATGACCTGATTCTGGACCCATATATTTGCCAACATCTTGGGAACTGTGGTGGATACAAAACAGGCATCAGTGAGGGAAAGGTTGGCCAGGAAGAAATACATGGGGGTGTGGAGTTGAGTATCAGCGATGATAGACAGAATGATGAGGAGGTTGCCGGCCAGTGTGACCAGGTACATGGACAGGAACAGCCCAAAGAGAATCTCCTGCTGTTCTGGTTGGTTGGAGAGCCCCATTAGAAAAAATTCTGAGACGCTGGTCAGGTTTTTCCATCCCATTTGTCTGTAAGTAGAAAGTTGGGTAAATTGAGTGAGGTTGGTGATTCTGCATGTGAATTCTTAAAGTTACATAATATTGCAATGTTTAATCTTCCAGTAAGAAGTTGAATCATGGGAACCCTTTAATATTTAACTATTCAGGACCTATAAAAACTATAGTTTCATATAGTTGAACTAAATATTTGCAAATACTTGTGCTCAGTGCCTATGCTTGGTGACATAGGGAACCAAAGATTTGTCTGCAATGAGAGAAGAATTTTTTTTACTTTAAAAAATTTTATTACATCAGTGTTAATTCAGCGCATATACTTTGGGGCTATGTCTGTGTTTATTCATCTAACCCTTGGAGTATTGATGTGGATGTTTTCACAATCAATCCCAAGATTGATTTCACAGGTTAAAAAAATCTTCATAGGGCCTCCCTAGTGGTGCACAGGGCTAAGTCTCAGCACTGTGAGGCTATCAGCAGCCACAGTAGCGCGAGTTTGATCCCCAGCCAGGGAGGTGACCCACATGGCGCAGCAGACCTCTCCTGTCTTGCTTGCTGTATTTCAGTCAATCTGTCTGTCCTGCTCCCCACTGTTTCTTGTGAGTCCTCTCACCCACTGAACCATTGTCAGACACCCCAGATCTTGTATACTTAAATAAATATATATATTTTAAAAATCTTCAAAAACAATATTGTAAATGAATATTATCTCAGTAAAAATAATGTTATCAATACTGCCCCCCCCCAAAAAAAACTAGTAGATAGAAGTGGGGTTTTGGAATTGATAAAAAAGCATATTTAGGCCCTCCCTGGTGGCGCAGTGGGTTAAAACACAACACCGAGAAGCTAAAGCCACTTCAGCATGAGTTCAATGTGACCCACATGGCGTTGACCCACATGACGTTGACCCACATGGCGGCAGACCTCTCCTGACCAGCCCATGTTCCCCTCAGCAGCGTACTACATCAATCTGTGTGTCCTGCTCCCCACTCTGTCTCTGGTGAATCCTCTCACTGCCCTGCACCTCTGGCCTGTACCCCAGTTCTGTATGCATAAATAAATAAATCTTTTTTAAAAAGCATATTTAATGCTGAAATCATTATCATCACTCTTTTCAGCTCTTTTGGTTAGAAACCAGGACATCATTATTGATTTATTTTTCTTCTTTCCTGTTACCATTACCAGGAACTACTACCATCTCATGGCAGTTTTAGTTCTCAGTACTAAAGTGTACCCATGTATTTCTATTTGCCTACTATCGCAGCCCCAGTTGCCACTATCTTCTTTCAGGGCGCTATCAATTGTCACTTAGATTTGGGGTAGTGGTACCCTTTTCCTACCCCTCTGGTCTCCTCACATAGAGAGAATGAGTCTTCTAAAAATCTCCACCTGAGAGCCACGTTCCCCCTGAGGGCCCCTTACTCTAAACTTCTAACATGGTCTGAAGGCCCTTGATCATAATGGCACGTATTGCCAATGTCTCCAATTACTCATGGACCTCCCACCTGCACTCCACACTCTATATGCCAATTATATTCTCAGTTATTAAAAAAATCCAGGTACTTTCTGAGCTCTGGGCTTTTGCCTATCTTATCTTATTTGACTGGAGGGTTCCCTCTCATTCATGAGACTACCCAAACTGCAGATCTCAGCTTTCACATCTAGGAAGCTTTCCCTACTTTACTTCTCACAGTGAATTCAAGTTGATCACCCTCTGAATTCCATGATGCCCTCCCTATCACAGCATGGGTCATCCTGGATTGTGGCCATCTATTTACTTGTTTATGTCCTTCATCCTACTGTGAGCCCCACTGAGTCAGGCACAGCAATGTCTGTCTTGTTCAGTTTTATATGTAGCATTAGCTCTGAGCCGGGGACACCATAGGTACATGGTAAGTAGCTGTTGTGTGAAGAATGAACTCCAAAGAATAGCAAGAGTAGAAAGGGAGGTTGGATAGAAGTAATATCAGGCAGAAGGGATAATTGAACTTTTTTGTTACTAGTTTTATACATAGTTTTGACTTAATAGAGTCCTGGCCAAAGGAATACAGATTCCTTTGAAACATTAAAGTCACAGAGATATAGACCCCAAACAAGGCAAATGCACTGTCCTAATTGAAATTCTGCAAGTGGAATAGTACTGCAGCCGAGGAATAAACCCACAGAGTCAGTTTTCTATACTGACTTATTTCCCTCCAAAGGTAAGCATCTCCTGGAAGTCTGAGCACTGTGGTGTATCCAATGATTGCTACTTGCTAGACAATAGTGCCATCTTGTATTTTATTCTCAGACTGGCTATGGACCACCAAACTGTCTTCATTTAGTATGTTGATACTTCAGTGAACCTTTATATGCTGCTCTCCTCTTCATTAAGAAATCCGTCAAAGGTAAAAGGAACATGCACAGTGTACATCAGATTTTGGTTTGCCAACTAGTAGGTAAGGGAAGAGAAATCCAACAAATGGTGCTGGGACAAGCTGTTTCACACTTTGGGGAAAATTAATTTAGATTCCCACCTCACAGCTTTTACTGAATAATTTCACATGGCTAAAACATTTTATGTACAGGTACATATATAAAGAAATAAGAAGAAATATAGCTCAATATTTGATCTCAGAACAAGGATAGTCTTTTTAATTAAACAAAACAAAAGTTCAGTCCACAAAGAAACCAACAATAAAGGCAAAGAAAGCTGGTTTAATGAAATCAAACTAAAAATTCTTTAAGACCATACATACACAGTCAACTAACAAATAGCAAAAGAACAAGACTATACAATGGAATAAGGAAAGACTCTTCAACAAGTGGTGCTGGGAAAATTGTACTGCTATATCCAAAAGAATGAAATTAGACAACCATCTCACATTATGCGCAAAAATAAACTCTAAAAAGGATAAAAGACTTGGATGTAAGAGCTGAAACCATAAAATATACAGACAAAACAAAAAACAAAACAAAACAAAAAAAAAACCACAAAGCATTCCATGACATAAGCTTCAGAAATACCTCACATCAGTGAGAATGGTCTGCATTAAAAAACAAAACAAAACAAAACAAAACAAAACAAAACAAAGGAAACAGAAACAAGAACTGGCAAGGTTATGGAGAAAAAGGAACCCTCTTATTCTGTTGGTGGGGATGTAAACTGGTCCAGCCACTATGGAGAGCTATGTGGAGCTCTAAACACTAGAAATGGATCTGCCACATGACCCAGTTATTCCACTCCTAGGAATCTACCCAAAGGATATCAAAACACTAATTAGAAAGAAATAAACACTCTTGTGTTTATTGCAGCACTGTTTACAATGCCAAGATATGAATGGCCCCCAAAAGATGAATGGATCAAGAAAGTGTGGTGTGTATACATAATGGAATAATATTTAGTGGTCAAAAAGATAAACTCGTGCTATTTGCAGCAACATGGGTGTAATTGGAAGGGTTGATGCTAAGGGAAATAAGTCAGAAGGAAAAAGATAACTATTGGGTAGTTTCTATCCTGCACTTATTTCCCTCCAAAGGTAAGCGAACCTATTACCTGTGGAATATAGAAGAGCAAACAAAGGGTCACAGACAAACTTTGAGAGCTGACAAAAGCTGTTACGCTTCCATAAGTTGGGGGAGAGAGGACACGGACATGTGAGAAAGAGTGGGAAGAGCACAAGGGAATATGGTGATGGACTATGGGTGCTTTAGTGGTGGGAGAAATACAGTGACCATACCTGAGGGGAGAAATCATATGTTACCCAAAAATTAAAAAAAAAAAGTAAAAATTACTTTTAAAGAAAAGATTACACCAGAAATAAAAAGGCAAGCAAAAAAGTGGGAAACTATTTTCAACATACAATACAGGAAGAATTGATATTTTTTAAAAAGTAACTAGTAATTGCAACTAATAAATAAAGAACACTCCTCCATAGAAAAACGAATTTAAAAAAATCACTAACTCTTAAATCATATTTCGTAAGGGCAGAGCTGGATCTAAGTTTGTTTAATTAATCCAAGACTTGTGCTCTTTTCACCTCCCACATGTTCTCCTCTCACCACCACTTTATCCCCAAGCAGCTAAAAACTCCAGGGTCACCTGATCATGTGTAATTGGTCCAAATGTAATCATAACTGGTGATCTTGCCCTCAGCTCCTTTTAAGTGTGCCCACACTGCACAGAGCCTGCATTTTTTGGACTCTGTAGGTCCTGCATGCACTCCAGGTGTAGTGGTTGGAGTAGCGGAGCTCTGTGTGTATTTGTTTATAACTGCATCGGTTGGCCTCTCTAGGTCCCTTCCTGAGCACAGTCACTTCTGTGTTTCTCTGGCCTCACAGCTGTTACTTTCCCTGCTCCCTAGAGCTCACCATCAGCTCTCCTTTACTTAGGACAGACACTCAGGCAGACCAAAATGGATTTCAAATCTCCACCCTCTTCATTCTTGTCTCATGATTACTCCTGCTCAGACAGAAACCTCAGCCCCTCATAAATATTTTCCTCATTTTTATTTTAGCTACCAGAGTCACAGGCCAGAGACCTTCTTCCCTCCTTTCCCTTTACTACATCCACTCCCAACTTTTTTAGGCCACGTCTTGCCAGTCAAATAGCTAGCGCTTTATCCTGACGCAAAACTCACTCAGTGCACTGTCCTTCCTTTTCACGTGGGCTCAGTAGGCATTTTTCTGGACTTATTAAAAATATAATACCTATAATTCAAAACAGTTTTGTTCTTGTGTTTTATATTAGCAGTGCATTGTTTTAGCAGAGATAAAATCTTAGTGACTGATTATAATTCTGGATTAATTCTGGGTTCCTGAGCACAGAAATCTGTGCTTTAATTCTGGATTAATGTTCACCTTTGAAATGGAAAAAAAAATTAAAGAACTGGTGTTCCTAACTGAGGAAGAAAGAAGCCCCCAGGGAGCAAAAAAGTGAAAGTCATGAAATTTTAAACAGAAGGAATAGATGATAGTGGAGCTGGAGGGATCCGGACATGGTTTATTCCTACTCCCACATTGGCCCTAACTA